ACATGCTCCCCTCTCACTGCCACATAGACTGCGCCATTGCAATTGTCCCCAGGGCTAAACTGCCAAAACCTAAAGTTTATTCGACGATGCTCTGAGAACTGGACAAGCTCCTGTCATTCATCGACAAGAATTTGGTCAAGAGCGTCATTCAACTGGCAAAATCACGCATTAGTTGTTTTTCCGTGAGAAGAGAAATGGCTTGCTTAGTTTATGCTTAGATTACCCCGACTTGAATGCTATCTGTGTGGAGAATGTGTATTCCTTACCTCTCATGAAAGACACGTTAGGCCACCTGGCCAAAGATAAGTTTTTCATCAAACTGGACTTGAGGGAGGCTTACTACTGGATGCGAAATAAAGAAGGTGACGAGTGGAAAATAGTATTTAACTGTCTAGGCTGCTTCCAGTTCCGAGTCCTTCTGTTTGGGTTACAGGAGCCCGTGCGGTGTTTATATAGTTGATAGATGAAGTGCTGCATGACCATTTATACAAAGGGGTATAGGTGTATTTGAATGACATTTCGATCTACACTGAGACAATGGAGAAGCATGTGAAATTAGTGAAGGCAGTGCTCAAGAAACTTGGGGGTGGGGGAGGCAACTGTATGTGAAGCTGTCCAATGTGAATTTCGCAAGACTAACTGGACTATTTGACCCTTGCCCTTAAGTTCTTTTAAATGGTTTCATCTATCGGAACCATGACAGCACCTCACTGAGGTCCTTCCATCAAAGCACCAGGGAAGGGAGAGGGGAACAACTGGGCAATAAAATTTTATGTTTCTATGGTGGGAATGCGGGAGGGGAAAATGACAGTTGAAGACTGTAGAGCATATTGGCATCAAAGAGCATATTGGAATCCAGTTTGTGCCAGGCTTCTTCAAGGCTATTTGCCCTGAGTGTGGCATTTCACCAGCCTAAACACCTCAGCGTTTCCCAAATCATCTCGGTGATGTCGAATTGGCTAAATATCAGGGCCAATATTAGGAGAAGCTGATAGCAGGCATGATAGGCAGGATCTGAGGGTTTCCCACTCAGATCAATAGGTTAAAAGAGTCCATAGCCCCACCCCAATTGTTCATCCAGTCAGTTTGAATGGGCCAATCCCCAGGTTTTAGGTCCGCTGTGGGAAAGAAGCTGATAATGGGATCCTTTCTATGCTTGTGAGATGTTGTTGGGTCTTCACACCTTCCCTTCCGCAGCGAAAAATAAGCCAGATGGTCGGAGGCACATTCCTTTCTCACCCCAAGGTAACATCAAGGCTGTGTCATCCTGCCCCCCTCAGAAAACAGAAAGATCCACCAGGGGTTCATCTTCTGAGTTGTCATCTGACAAGTTGAGTGGCTCTCCCAGTGGGGTTGGAGTTTCCTTCCCCTTTTTTGATGGAGTTGGGAACTTGACGACCTCCACCCTTTTCATGGACATCTCTTTTGGTTTCATCGGGATCTTCTCAGGCTTCCTGGACGGAACTCAGTCAGGTTTCCGGATGGGGGTCCACAAGTGGCACTTGGTGGCGTGGTGTCCTTCCTTCCCGCATTTGAAACATCCTGTTGCCCTTGGGGTGGTTGGCGCTTGCTTCGTTGGTTCTCGGGGTGGCTCTGCTGGCGATTTCCCCCAAGATCTCCCTCTGGGTCATTGTCTTTTGGTTCGATCGATCTCTGCTTCCTTGGCTAGGATGTACCAATCTTGGAGCCGGTCTGGGTCTTCTGGAGGGATGTAGGCATCATACAAGTCATAGTTCAGGCCATCTTTGAAATGCTCGATCAAGATATCTTCCGACCAGTTCAGCTTGCTGGTCAGAGCTCGGAATTCTTGAGTATATTCTGCTACGGGTCATCACCCTTGCCTGACAGTTTTGATGCACTCCTAGGCTTTTCAATCAGCCAAGGGATCTTCAAATCTGTGTCTGAGGGCTGCCATGAATTGATTAAAATTCTGCAGTTCTGGGGCATCGACATCATGGAGATACATCACCTAGTCTGCTGCAGAGCCATCCAGGGCTGCTTGCACAATCCGTATTTTGGCTGCGATCACTGGGTATGTCACAGCAATATTCCTCCATATAGTTCAACACTTGGGTCAGGAAAAACCTATCGGCGCGGCTCCCCACTGCAAGGTAAGTGGGTGCGGGATATGTGAGGCAGCTCCACAACCCTACCACCACCCTAGCTTGATTTTTAGGTTTGTGCCTCACCCCAAAACTAGGGCTTATTTTTGGGATAGGGCTTATATTAGACCCACCCACCCCCAAATCAAGCTAGGACTTATTTTCAGGATAGGCCTTACTTTCTTTTCTACCACATCTTACTATATTCAACAGCACAGTAGAATTCTTCACATTTTTGGGCTCTATAATCTCCCAGGATTTGAAATGGACATCTAACATTAGAACTATCATTTAAAAAAGCATAGCAAAGAATGCTTATCCTGTATCAACTCAGGATACCTGCCCCAGGAGCTGTTGACATATTTTTACATAGAAATTATTGTATCTGTCATTTGCATTTCTGTAACTGTCTGGTTTGGTACAGCAACCAAACAGGACAGGTGCAGACTTCAATGCAAAAGGAACAACTGCAACCAACCAGCTTTCATAGAAGACCTTTATATTGCGCAGGTCAGAAGGGGGGCTGAGAAAATATCTACAGACCCCCTACATCCTGCACACAAATTGTTTCAACTCCTCCCCTTGGGACACCATTACAGGGTGTAAGGACCTGCCCCAGCTGTCTCTCAGGAAAGCAAAACTCCTGACTCCATTGAATTGAATCAAAAGAACTTTTACTGAGAAAAAGTGGATGCAGTAAACTCAGGCGAAATCTGATAGCCCCATGCAAAGCTCAAAGCAATTCTTCCATTTCCCCAAACGCATCCCCCCAACCAGTCAACTGGCACCAATGTGATGCCATAAGGTTGTTTTGAGAATGCTGAGGTGCTAGACCAGTGTTTCTCAACCCTGACAATTTTAAGGCATGTGGACTTCAACTCCCAGAGTTGAAGTCCACATGCCTTAAAATTGTCAAGGTTGAGAAACACTGTGCTAGACAAATAACAGGACACCCTCAGGCCTTGAAACCAGGCTGAAACTGGCTGGGAGAGAGCCTGCTCCATCTCCGACCACAATCCCCATCTTTAATTCCCAAGCAGTTACAGCAAAAGTGAAAGCATATGAAAGATGCCAGCAAACCTTCCTCCTCCCCCTTCCATTGAATGGTAGGACACGCTGGACCTGACAGAGTTTTGCATATCAAAACAACCAGACAAAGAGACAAGTTTTTTCCCCTCATGTCATCACTCTGCTGAACACTCAGTTCACATAGTACCATCTATTGTCTATGTACATTTACCCATATTGTATGGCTGTAGCATTATTATTATCCTTCTTATATTCTTTACTACCCCCTCTTATTGGTATGATGATGATGATGATGATGATGATGATGATGATGATTACTCTGTTGCTTTGCATGTACACCGAGAGCTTCTGTACTGGAGACAAATTCCTTGTTTGTCTGATCACACTTGGCCAAACAAAGTATTCTAACTGCAAATAAACCAAAGCTGTCCTTTTTAATGCAACCAAAACACTAGAAAATTATAATTAAAACTTTTATAAAGGTGGAAAACAATTGTATGCAGTGAATACATTTCAAATTGGCAGTTCTAGATCTTCGTTAAAAATGCACAGCACAAAATACCTAAATATCCTATGTTAATTATTGTGCAGATAAAACTTTGTTTTTACTGTAACACAAGAGAAGTAAAGTAGGTCAAGGTTGCAAACTGAGGCAAATCAAGCCACTAAAACTCCAGATATTCCCACATTAGTAGACACTCTGAGTTTCAATGCTGAACATGAAGATCTCCTACTAAACATTATAAATCTCTATCCAAACAAAACAAAGCAAGGAAGACAAAGATGAAGGGCAAGACTGATGGCAAGGGCAATGGTAGCATGACATGCAAAGAACAAAAAAACCCTGGAGAAGTCAGTCCCTGCTTTCTCTGGAACTGAAAAACTGATTTTCTATCATCCTCCAGGAAGGAACTATGCAAAGTCAAGTGTTCCAGTGATAAGAAGTAAAGGCACTCAAATGTTTCCAAATAAAAAAAGGCATGTGTTGCTGATTAGTGATTTACTACTCAGAGGAAGAGAGTCATCAATTAGTATACTTGACAATATCTTAAGGCACGGGTGTTAAACTCGCCATGTCACATGATGTGTCGCAACATATCGTGACTTTTTTTGCATTGCCGGAGCTGGGTGGGCGCAGTCTCCATATGATGCAATTGGCCCACAGGCCAGCAGTTTGACACCCCTGTCTTAAGGGAAGTAAATTGTCTCCCAGGTGCAAAGATGTGACAGAGAGGCTCACTAAAATAATGAAGTCCACTGATTGCTATTCTTTTCTACATTTCCAAGCCACAACAAATCATGCAACTAAGAGCCTGAAATCAGTTTCAAAGGACTATGAACAACTAGACAGAAAAGCAAAGTAATTGGGTGCCCAGATTATGTTGTCATCTATACTGCGGATGAAAGGTCAACAACCAACCAATGAGGGAATGGAGCACTTTAGAAGTAAACCACTGGCTCAAAGGATGGTGCCATCATAAGAACTTTGGATTTCTAGACCATGGATTACACTACCTATAGGAAGGGCTTCTAGCAAAAGACAGACTTCATCTCATGAGGACCAGCAAGAATTAGGGAAACAACTGGCTCAGCACTTCCAAAGGGCTTTAAACTAAAACTGAAGAGGGAAGGAGACCAATTTATAGGTCTAAACCCAAAACACAAAAGGTCAAAGCCCAGACTCCTCTTCTAATGAAACACTCAATGCATCCGAGAATTATTTGGATGACAACCATCTGTGCACACATGTAAGGAAAATGCCTATTAATTATGTTATCCTGTATCATTAATTTTTCAGATAAGGCTTTGGGAAAATATAGGATAAAAATATCTGGAAGTTCAGCATCATGAATGATAGAAAGTTCTTACTTTTAAAAACTGCATCAGGGCTGTGTTGCTTGGATCATTAGGATCAAGTTTTGTATCAGTCACCCATTTGGCTAATTTCTTCATGTCAGTTAATCCAGATGCGCCAATTGATGCAATAGCATCCACTTTTTTTAAGGAACTGAAATTTTGACATAAGAGTGAAAACAATTGGTTAAAAGAAGTCTTCCAAATGTTTTTGAAGAAAGAAAAAAAAAAAAGAATCTCTATGGTTGGTGTTCCTAGTTACCGTGTTTCCCCAAAAGTAAGGCCTACACCGAAAATAAGCCTTAGCTGGAATTTTGGGGGTGGGCCTAATATAAGCCCTACCCCAAAAATAAGCCCTACTTTTGGGGCGAGGAACAAACCTAAAAATCAAGCTAGGGTGGCGGTGGGGGTGTAGAGCTGCCACATGCACCCTGCACCCACTTACCTTGCAGCCAGGTCTCTCCTTACCAGCCCACTTCTTCTGTGGCATCTTCTGCAGCTAGGCCTGCATTTCTCAGTTACAGGCCTTTCCGGAAGGACTCTGCAGCCAAGAACCGAGCTATGGATTCAATCCATAGCTCAGTACTCAGGTGCATAGGCCTTCCGGAAAGGCCTGATTGCAAAATGCAGACCAGAATGCAGCTGCAGAATGAAGCTGCTCCTTCGGCCACAAAAGAAGTGGACCTGCTGGGTGGGGCCGGCGGGGCCGGAGGTGAGTAAGACATCCCCGAAAATAAGACTTGGTGCCTCTTTTGGAGGCAAATAAATAAATAAATAAGACCTGGTCTTATTTTGGGGGAAACATGGTATGGATTATCAATTTTGTATAAACTCATTAATTTGCCTTTTCAAATAAAATTTATAGTCAAACAGCTTTACAAAGACTTCCCATTATTTCAAAAAACTCACTACTGTTGAAGATGTGTACTGTTTAACAAGCTCGCACTAAGTTAATAAAAAGAAAATAAATCTCCTGAAATATTCAATGAAATATCATTGTGCTTAATGCCAGTGCACAGTACCACAAGAGACAATAATCTTCACATGCAGACAAAATATGTTAAAATATATTTCAACTTCTGGCTAAAACAATTATCTCTAAGTATTACTCCAAAAATAATGCAGTCAGACAGAATATATTTTTTTCTCTCTAGGAAAGAAAGGGCTTATGGAGGACTTGTTGAACTGAACTCTGTTAAAGTTCACTACCTTGAAAGATTAGAATTCTTCTGCGAGACTGGAGGAACCAGTGGTATCCCATTTGCTCCAACTGCCCATGACACACTGCATGATACTTTACCAGAAGTCATTAAAATCATATTATTACTACCATCTGCTTCAAATGAAAATGAAACACCTGCAAGAAGAGATCAGAAAGACAGGTTCTGCTCAGATTTGGTAAATCACCCATGGTTTGTGTTCTTTTGAACCAATAAAAATATATCGTTTGCGTGGTCTTTAATGCTCTTGTATTTTTCCTTAGTTGGAAGGAAGGAAGGAAGGAAGGAAGGAAGGGAGGGAGGGAGGGAGGGAGGGAGGGAGGGAACCCGTTTTCAGCAAGTTTTGGAGGTCTATCAAAGATGGTTGTAAGGCCTGAACACCTCAAATTGCCTAAGAGATTATGGTTAAGTCTATGGACATACTGTATAAGTATTTGGACCTAGCGCGAAAGCCACAATATGTCAATTATATTAGCTATATTGCAATCCTCTGAACATCCAACAAATAAGAAATGGAACAATCTCTGTACCACTGCCTACTCCTTCATGGTCCAGCGTCACACACTGGTCACTGCTGAATTCAATTTCTTCAACTGGAGCTCTTCCTGTTAGAACAGTCATCTCTGGGATGGGCACAAATACTTCTGTTAACAAGTTAGCACTGCTGAGTCCAATTGTTTCATAAAGCTGTAATAAAGGGAAGAAATTATTCCAATCTCTAATCACTTTGAGTGTTTGGGAGTTATAATTTAATTTACACCATGATTTCAAATATGTTCTCATAGCCATATATCAAGGGGCTGGAGAAGATTGGCATAAGTTAGAATTGCTTATCTCTCACTATGCATCATAATATCAGGATTACACTGTAAATATATACTCTAGCTTGGGATATACTAGAATGGTAATTAAATGGGCTTCCTTTCCCTGACAAGTGAAAGCAGAGAAGCAGGTGATTCTCATTTGAGAATCCAGCTCTTAAGGAGCAAAAGCCACTAAATCACGGACTCCAAAATCAGCAGCTGTGGAGGATACACAAGCAGTATTCAAAGGAATACTATTAAATGAACAGGAAATTATAGAGATTTATTCTTTACAAGCTCTATATCAATGTATATACATAACTAGTTGGGGTGAAAGTTTTAAAGAATTTTGTTTGAAACAGATGGTAATACAAGCAGTGTAGAAGTACAAAATAAATAAGAACAAAAATAAAAGCAAGAGAAATTGATCATACAACCTATATTCTATATAAGAAAGTGAGGGTAGCTTTATCCACGAACAGAATTTCATTATGAAAAAAACCTTATATCATTTAAATCCATGGACCAAAAATTACTAAGTTCCTGTGGAAACTAAATTTAAATGACTGAAATTAGGATTTCTTCATTTCTCTTGCCATAGATAAGACTACTAATGTTATACTGTTTCTCTATGTGTTTAACACAGTAACTTACCTGCAATTTTAAACTCTCTGGCCAATTGAATATTTGCACATTAAAAATTTGCCCAAAATGAATTCTAAAGTCGGAGTTCATCTGCCGAGAAACTGTTCTAGATACCTCTTTGGAATTAAGAAGAACTTTTAAGAAGAGACATCTTTTCTTCACATCTTCACGTCTTGCAACTTCAGTTCTACAAACAGGTTAACAACTAGTAAATAAAACATGTACATTGCTTGAATGATAATAAAGAATAGCAGAGAAAGAATTAGAGAAGATAACAAAACAGAAAGATTGTGGCAAAAGAAAACAAAAGTAGTACCAATAGTATTAGGCACCTTGAGTGTAATCGCACTGTTGAACATCACCGACACCATTGACAAAATCAACATCAATCAATTGCAAAAGGCCGTTTTATTTGGAACAGCTTACATCCTACAACAATTTAATACCATCAAACGTCAACATCTGGCTATCTGATGTCCTTGGAAAGGATTTGATAGGTGAACAAAAATGCTAACTCCTGTCTGAACAACTGACTGAGTGACCAAACAAAGTAATTTATTCATTTTATATGTTGCCCAACTTCCAGCAAGTCTGGGCAGTTTTGTGTTTGAAATGTTTCATAAGATTTTGATAACTAAAATATATGTTTAAAATAAGATAATCTTCACTCTATGCTGTTTGTACAATCCCTTTTTCACATCTCTAAGATGTCCCAATTATCTAACAATTGAATAGAACATACAAACTTAAAATCTAAAATATATATGCTTAACTTGTTGGACTGAGCAGTGGATTTAGGAGTTTATAACTTGCTCCTCTCTTATGCTCAAAATATGCAGTTGTGTGATCTATTTTTCCCCTCTGCACAAGGGCTAAATATTATCCAATATTGATCTTGATCCATCTTAGGCCCAGTACTCTTTAATATCTTCATAAATAATTTAAATGAGGGAATAGAGGGGGAACTCATCAAACTGACAGATAACACTAAACTGGCAGGAATAGCCAACATCCTGAGCCAAGCTCAGGATCCCAAAAGGTCTTGACAAACTGGAACAATGGGTCCTATCTAACAAAATGAATTTTAATGTGGAGAAAAGCAACGTTTTACATTTAGGCAGGAAAAATCAAAGGTATAAGTACAGATTAGGTGAGACCTGGCTCAAAAACAATAACTGTGAGAGGGACCTTGGAGTTCTAGTGGACGATCACTTGAGTATGAGCCAGCAGTGTGCAGCAGCAGCCAAAAAGCCAATACAATCCTGGGTTGTATAAACAGAGACAAAGAATTAAGATCATGCGAAATATTAGTACCACTTTATAAAACCCTAGTAAGACCACATCTGGAATACTGCAACTAATTTTGGTCACCAAACTACAAAAAAGATGTTGAGACTTTGGAAAAAGTTCAGAGAAGAGCAACTAAAATGATCAAAGGCCTGGAGACTAAACATATGAAGAATGGCTGTGGGACTTGGATTTGGCTAGTCTAAAGAAAAGAAGAAATAGGGGTGACATGATAGCAGTATTCCAGTATTTGAGAGGCTGCCACAAAGAAGAGGGTGTCAAATTATTATCCAAAGCACTAGAGGGCAGGACAAGAAACAATGGTTGGAAACTGATCAAAGAGAGAAGCAACTTGGAATTAAGGAGAAAGTTCCTAACAGTGAGGACAATTAACCAGTGGAACAGCTTGCCCTCAGAAATCGTGGGTGCTCCATCACTGGAGGGTTTTAAGAAGAGACTGGGCAATCACTTGTCTGAAATGATACAGGTTCTCCTGTTTGAGCAGGGAGCTGGACTAGAAGACCTCCAAGGTCCCTTTCTATTCTCTTCTATTCTGTTCAAAAATGCAATAAAATGTATCTGAGGTATTATGCAGAAAGCACAGGTCCATATAATCAAAAACAGCATCCATTGACCATAAATAAGGATCAGATAAACCAGGGCTTTTCAACCAGTGGTACGCAAGCACCTGGCTGGTGGTACGCATAGGACCGGTTGAAAAAATGTAAAAAAAAAAAAGGAAAAAAAAGGAAAGTGGATGAGGTGAAGCGGCTATGAAAGCTCAGGGGAAGCGCCAGGATCAGCACCCTTTTCCGCCTGATCGGCACTTCTCTGAGGCCGTGAGAGCTCAGGGGAAGCGCCAGAATCAGCGTCCCTTTTCGCCTGATCGGCACTTCTCCAGGGCCGTGAGAGCTCAGGGGAAGCGCCAGGATCAGCTCCCCTTTCTGCCTGATTGGCACTTCTTCCGGAGCTGATCCTGGTGCTTCTCCTGAGCCCCGAAGAAGCACTAATCTCCTGGAAAGCGGCATTGATCCTGGCGCATCTGCTGAGTCCTGAAGAAGCGCCTGTCACCTGGAAAGCAACATTGATCCAGGTCAGCGTACTCACACACACACACACAAACACGTGCGAGCAGTTACAGCTGAAGGCGTTTCAGCCTTCAACTATGGCTCCTAGTCCTCTGGCGCCTCATTGGCTCAGGCCAGCCATCCATCAGAATCTACGTCCTGTGATTGGCTGGCTCCCTCAACGTGTCCCTCCCTCTCAGAAAGGGTTTGGCTCTTCATGCCGGCTTGCCCCCTCGCGGGGCTCCTGATACTGTAGGCCCCGCAAGCCGGGAAGGCGCACCGGAGTCCCGACTGCCAGTAAGATGATCGACCCACTCCTCTCCCATTGCCCACTCTGCCCAGCTCGAATCTGGCTGGAGCAGCATTGGTGCTTCCAAAGGTGGCCACTTCAAAGTCACAAGGGCAGCCCTCTGCTGCTCCCCTCCCCTCCGTGCCTCCAAATCGATCCCCAATCCGAGAGAGAGAGACGGAGGGAGGAAAAGAGGAAGAGAGAGAGAGAGAGAGGGAGGAAGAGAGAGAAAAAGGGAGAAAGAGAAGGAGAGAGAAAGGGAGAGAGGGAGGGAGAGAAAGACAAAGAGGGAGAAAGAAAGAGGAAGAGAGAAATACAGAGAGGGAGAGAGAAAGAAAGGGAGAGAGGGAGGGAAAGAGAAAGAGGGAGAGAGAGAAAAAGAGAGGGAGAGATAGGGAGAGAGAGAAAGAGAGGGAGGGAGAGATAGGGAGAGAGAGGGGGAGAGAGAGAAATAGAGAGAAAGAAAGGGAGAGAGAAATAGAGAGAGGGAGAGAGAGAAAGGGAGAGAAGGAGAAAGAAGGAGAGAAGGAGAGAGAAATAGAAGGGGAGAGAAAGGGAGAGAGAGGGAGAGAGAAAGAGAGAGGGAGAGAGAGAAAGAAAGGGAGACTGAGAGGGAGAAAGAAAGAGGGAGAGAGAGATTAAATTAGTAACATGGTTGTTAAGTGAATCTGGTTTCCTCCACTAACTTTGCTTGTCAGAAGATTGCAAAAGGCGATCACATGACCCTGGAACAATGTGATCATCATAAATATGAATCAGTTGCCAAACATTGAAATGTAAATCACATGACCCTGGGTATGTTGCAACAGTCATAAGTGTGAAAAATGGTCATAAGTCACTTTTTTCAGTACCGTTGTAACTTTGAACAGTCACTAAGCAAACTGTTGTAAGTCAAGGATTACCTGTACTTTAACACTTTTTTCAATTTTTTTTTTTGATTAAGTTTTTGACACCTCGCTAGGTGACTGGTGGTACTCAAATGTTGCCATATTCTAAAAGTGGTACAATCGGTGAAAAGGTTGAAAAGCCCTGAGAAATAGAATAATTTCTATGGAAATAGAATAATTGACTTCATCTACAAATACAGAGACAAGAGACTTCTAGAGAGGAGGGAAAAAACTCAACTGCCAACATCAGACATGTATTTTGGAGGAAACCACCCCCCCCCATTATAAAAGTTCTAAAGCACAGGCTTACTCCAAAATAACATTATGCATCACTACCTTAGGTACACATTCTGCCATCTTGAAAAATAGAGGCTAGCTGCAGAACAGCTGCCAAAGACATGGCCCGAAAGGCCACAATATTGCTTCTTTGGAGGAGGAAAGGCTGAAATTGCTTTTTTTGTTTTGTTTTCTTTTGCAACAAGGAAATTTTCAATTGAAAAATAGGAAAAATCACATCCTGCCTGCTGAATACTGGTAATATTATCTTCAAATGCTTTTTGGCCCACAACGGTGGGACTGAAAACAGAATGATCCCTAGCTAAGTTTCTGGTATGAATGAACAGTCTTTACTTTCAAACATCTGGCTGCCATTCCAGGCATTCTAAAAATAAACATCTTAAGAACTGATTTGGAGAGTCAGCAACATTTTCAAATCTTAGCTTTCTACTGACTTTTCAAAAAAGTGACCATTTCCAGTTTATATAAAATGAGAAGGAGCAAATATTTGAATGTTTTAATTATTATTATCAACATGTAAACAGAATCTTCAATACATTGGCAGATAAGCCAATGTTAAGAACATGCATCTCATTTAGAAATTGTTGTGTTTCTCCAACATGACTTAAAAGAGGCAGCTATAAGACCATAACTGAAAAAAAATCCATCTGGGTCTGGGAGCTTTGTAATTACAGGCCGATCTCCAATCTTCCATTTCTGAATAAAAATAAATAATTAAGAAAATGGCTCCATACCTCTTGCTGCACTTGAATGAAATTAATTATCTGGACTCTTTCAATCAAGCATGCTTTGGTTGCTTTGGTGAACTTTTGGGAAATTAGATGGAAGATGTGATCCTGCGGAACTGACTCTGGGCAGTTAGAAATGTCATAAAATAATATAAAAGAATGTGGTGCTCAGGGGATTGTGGTTTGACACTTAGGTAACTGACTGCTGATTTCCTAGTAGGCACAATTTAGGGTGCTGAGTTGATCTGCAAAGCCTTAAAAGACCCTGGTGTATACTATGCCCAGGGATTTTGAGCAGCAGAAGCCCTCCTGTACTGAAAAAAAAAAAGTCAAGAAAAAAATTGTCACGAAGCTCGGGACTGGTTTTAATTGTAACTAGATTCTAGTGATATTTTGATTTTATGCTAATATGGCTCACCTAGGACAAGCCTCATTCGGAGTGATGCTCCCCACCAAGCTTAACTCGGGGATTAGAACTGGTTCTCCAGGCTGTCTTCGGTTCTCAGCAGCTCTTCTGCGAACTTGCAGCTCCACCTGCTGTTGGTCAACTGGGAGAGGTGGAAGAGGCTTCAGAGGTTCCTCCATTTGCTCAGATCCTTCATCTTCTTCATCTTCCAAGTGTTGATTTGATTTCTTTTTTTGTTTCTTTCGATTTTTCTATATGAGTGAAAAGATGTATTTGATTTTGGTGGGTCTTTTGTTGGACTGACCATTTTTTATCTCTAATTATTTGATAAATGAATGTGATAAATAATTCATTTGGTGGCTGGGTGTTAATAATTTTTACTACAGTTATTCTATTATTACAAGTATATAATTACTTGTTTTTTAAATCTTGGAATTTAAGAATATATTCCAACGAACAAATTCTAGAAATTTATTCCTAGGAATAAATTCCTATTTTATCCTTAAAAATGGCTTACTGATGATGGAGACTCTCAATCATGCAGGTCATGGTTATCCCAAAGGTTTTTTTCCAAATGGCAACTGGACTTCCTTGGTTTTTTCTTTGAAGATGTTTCACGTTTCATCCAAGAAGGGACCTGAAGAAGCTTCATGGATGAGAAGCAAAACGTTTTCAAAGAAAAAAAAACAAGGAAGTCCGTTTGCCTTTTGAAAAAGCACCTTTGGGTTAACAGTGGCTTTGATGTAGAACATGAACTTTATTTTTTAATTAGATATATATTCTGCTTTTCTTTCAGGAGCTGAAGAAAAATATACACAGCACTCTTATTTTTCAGATGATTACAATCCTCTTATAAAAGACTGGGCTGATAGAAAGACAGACTGAGCTTATGTAGTGAGGGGGGATTGAATCTAGTATGAAACACACTGCCACTAACATTTGACAATCATGGTAAATAATAGCATAGAAAGCACCCTCCTAGTGTTGATTAGATTCATATGGAGAGGATTAAGTAGATTTGGCTCTTGTCTGTATTAACACTGTGACAGGCTGAAAGAACAGAGTGCAAAAATGATTCATTCTATGTCATAGCTAATCATCCAGGACACCATTGCCTACATTGGCCATCTCTAAACCAGTCTTTCTCAACTATGGCATCTTAAGTTGTGTGGACTTCAACTCCCAGAATTCTCCAGCTAGCAAGGTGTTGAAGTACGCATATTTTAAAGCTACCAGAGTTGAGAAATACTGTGCTAGACAACCAAGGCCATGCCCAATCTCTTTCCCACATTAGCCAACATAGTATGTGAACAAAAAACACTTCCCACCCACAATGATGCTGACTCAGACCTGTGCCTTCTTCCATGATTTCCATGCTCGAAATTCAATTTTATATTCATCCATTTTCTTTTCATACTCTTCACTATTTTCTTCTAGTAATTCATCTATTTCAGCCCGAATTTCTGCCTCATAGGCCTTTTCATCCAACTTCAGGTCAACTTCTTCCCTTCAAATAGTAATAAAAACAAAGCCATAAATAAAAACAGTGTTGGTATACTACATTCTTATTTTTTGCCATGCCACGTCAATCCTTTTTATTAGCTTATAATATAAAATACAAAAATACAAAAGCAAATAATAGGAAAAATAGGGGAGGGAAAAGGGAAAAGTGTAGAAAAAAAGGGAAAAGAAAGAAAAGGCATTGACTTCCAACTCCCTTGGGGGCAGTAAAATAAGAAGTAACATCAAACCTCAACTTTTTACTTTTACATTAATAGTATAAACTAGCCATTTCTATAACAGATCTATCTAATCAATAAAACCCAAAATCAGTTTCACTTTTTTCCACCTCAAGCACAAAGTCCAGAAGCAGTTTCCAAGTAGAAACAAAAGTACTTGTGTTTTTTCTTTTATCAAAGCAATCAATTTAGCCATCTCTGCTAACTCCATTAGCTTTTGCAACCATTCATCCTTTGTGGGGATTAAAGCGTCCTTCCATTTTTGTGCGTAAAGTAATCTTGCTGCCATCAACATATATAACATCAAACTTCCAATCCCCCCCCCCCAAGTCTTTTCCCATTAAACCCAGAAGAAAAGTTTCTGGTTTTATCTTTATATTCACTTTAAGAATCTTATGTATTTGAATATGAATCCTACTCCGATATTTCTTTGCTTTATGACATGTCCACCATAAATGATAAAAATTCCCTTGTTTACATTTGCATTTCCAACATTCGTTTGAAATGCCTTTATACATTCTTGATAACTTATGTGGTATTAAGTATCAATGATACTTCATCTTATAAAAATGTTCTTTTAAACTGTAATTTAATGTAAAATTTAAATCTATCGCCCACATATTCTCCCATTATTCAAGCTCTACATTATATCTAAAGTTCCTTGACCACTGAATCATACAATGCTTTACTTATTCACTTTCCAAATTCAATAATATTTTACATCAATGATATGGTTCATCACTATCACACAGTAGGATTTCCAATTTATTTTTAACAGAGTGAAACCCATTGCTCTTTTTTGTCTAATTTAATTCTTTCTTTCAGTTGTAAATATGTAAACCAATGGCAGGCACGTCCTGATTCTAGCTCTTCCTTAGACTTGAGGATAGGATCATCAAAATTAAAAGTTATTATTTTACCATAAGTCCACCAGTCTGGCTTCGCCACCATTTCTTTTCTTTAAAAAGCCCTCCTGGCTGACACCCAAAGAGGCATCCTCATAGGGAACCTTATATTTATTCCAAACTGTTAGAATGGCAAGTCTAACAAAGTGATTGTTAAAATCAACATTTACTTTAACTTTGTCATACCATAAATAACCGTGCCATCCAAATCTTAATTCATGACCTTTAAATCAAGTAGCCTCTTATTCTGGAGGTCCACTCACTCTTTAACCAGACCAAACAACAAGCATCAAAATACAGTTTCAAATCTGGTAAACCCCCTCTCTCCTTAACATCTTGCAGTAGTTTATATCTAATTCTTAGTTTTTCCCTTGCCGTATAAACTTTAAAATATCCCTCTACCATTGTTTAAAGGGGGTATCAGTTGCAAGTATTGGTAACACCTGAAACAAAACAAGCATCTTTAGTAAGATGTTCATGTTAATTTTCAGAAATTCTACCCAGTTATGATAAATGCAATCCCATCTTAATAAGTCCTTTTTAATATCATTCCAGAGAGGCACATAGTTATTTTGAAACAGTTTGTGTTTCTCAATAAAAGCCCCAAATATTTCATCTTTTTCTCAACCCTAAAACCAGATCTTTTAGTTAATATATCACAATCCTGTGAGGTCATATTCAGCATTGTTGTTTGCTGTTTATTTTAAAACCACTAAAACCCTAAACTCATTTAATTTCCTCATCAAATATTCTATATTATTTTGGCGGGTCTTGCAAAAATGTAACCAAATCATCAGCAAATGCCCTCAATTTATAAACTTTCTTCTTGATACTTATACTGTACCTGTTATTTTCTCATTTTGCCTGATCTCTCTGTTCAAAACTTCCAACACAAAAACAAACAACGGAGGCAAGGGACATCCTTGTCTCGTACCCTTTTGAATTTCACATGAATTAGTTAAATCACTGTTACTAATAATTTTTGCTTGCTGTGACATATAAACAACTTTGACCCCTTGAATAAAATTCTCCAAAGTCCATTTCTTCTAGCACTTTAAGCATAAAAGTCCAATTTAGATTGTCAAAGGCTGACCTTGCATGTACTAGAATTGCCTGTTTCTCATTATATTGTAAATATTCAATAATATTCAAAACAGTCCTTATGTTATCCGTTTGTCAAAACTGTCTTTTTGCATAAGGCCAGATTGGTCTTTGTGAATATATGCCTGTAAAAACTTCTTTAATCTGTAATCAAAACTATAGCAAAGAGTTTATAGTCCTTGTTTAATGAGATTGGTCTGTAATTCTTTATTTTCGTAGCATCTTGACTGTCCTTTGGTAGCAACACAATATTGGCTTCTTTCCACATCTGCGGTATCTTTCCCCCCTGTAATATATCATTCATTCTATCCTTTAGTGGCTGAAGAAGTTTATCTTTGAAGCATTTATAACATTGGCTTGTAAGGCCATCTGGACCTGGAGCTTTACCTGATTTCATTTTTTTAATAGCTTCTGATATTTCAAAGACAGTTACTGAGTCATTCAAAAGTTGTCTCTGAGTTTGTAAAAGTTTAGGCAACTGTTGTCTTAAAAGATATGCGTCTATTTTAGACATATCTGCGTCCTGCTTTTTATACAAATTGGAATAAAAATTAGGAAAAGACTTTTTAATAAGCTCAGTCTATTATTACATTGTTGCTTTCACAAATTTTCTCCATCATTCTCTTTTCCCTTTCCTTTCTTAGTTTATATGCCAACCATCTTCATGGTTTATTTGCAAATACAAAGTGTCTTTGCTTTACATAATTCAGTTTTATTTCTATTTCTTGAACTGTTAATATAGACAGTTGTTGCTGTAATAGCTTAATTTGATGTAAAATTTTAAAGTCTTTTGTAATTCAATTTCTGTCTAATTTCATCTTTTCCTGGGATTTTTTTCTTCTCTAGGTATACTATATTCTAACACATGGTGCATTTTTCACATGGTCAATATTGGCTTTATTCAGAATGTGTGTGTTAACTCTAAAAAATAGTGGGTGCAGCAAGTGGGAGAAATAAATGCCAGAAAGGTTCTCTGTCTCAGTTGCTATCATGGCTTGTTGATTTTGCCCAATCTTCTTTCTTGAAAGCACAAACATGAAATATCATTCCTTCAACCCTAAAAATTTTATGTTGCCCTTTTTTCCTCAAAAAATTCAATTCTTTCCTGATAATTCTTTATGAGGTACAAAATTAAGAGGCACCCCTTTCATTGTCCCTTTGGACATTCCTTCTTACAAATGCTTGAAGGGAAACAAAAGGATTACGGAAACAATCAATTTTTTGTTTGCAAATGTCAGCTTCTTTGACTGACTGACTGACTGACTGACTGACTGACTGACTGACTGATTATATCTCACAGTATAGGAAGGGTAGTTCTGCATGTTGTCTAGGTTATCCTAGATAACTATGAAATATTGTGAGGTAAGTAGTCCAAAGGTCTGAACTTGAAAGGGGCGTTGTCTTACCTGAACGCCTTTTCTCAGCATGAAGATGTAGCATCCACCGATTGGGTAATCAAAGCCCTCCTGCTCAGATTTAGACTAAGACCAAACTTTAGCCACGCCTCCCTTGGGCGCTCCTTTCCCAGTTTTGTCGAGGCGAAGCATTCATTAGGTCCGACACAGTAGCTCCTCCTGAAAAAAATCTGCCTAGACTAAGTGTTAAGGGTGGGTGTGGATGCTACATCTTCATGCTGAGAAAAGGCGTTCAGGTAAGACAACGCCCCTTCTCCAGCATGATAGATGTAGCATCCACCGATTGGGACATACCAAAGCCACCCGTGTCCCTGTCGGGAGGGAAGTCTAGGCTTGTGGCTCATGCGTAGGGACTACCTGCTGCAGAACCCTTCTGCCGAAGGATGCGTCTGAGGCAGCGAATTTATCAAGCTTGTAATGCCTTATAAATGAAGAGGGGGAAGCCCAGGTGACTGCCCTGCAAATTTCCTCAATCGAGGCCTGAGTGGACCAGGCCGCAGATGTAGCAGCGCTACATGTAGAATGAGCAGTGATGTGAGGAGGAACAGGAAGAGACTGAGTCCTGTAAGCGTGAGAGATGCAGGCCCTAATCCATCTACCAATGGTTGAGGATGATACTTTCAGACCCATGGAAGAAGGTTGGAAAGACACAAACAAGGCCTCCGATCTACGAAATGCAGCGGTTCGCTTCACATAGTGATGCAAAGCCCTGCGTACGTCTAATGTATGCCACAATCTTTCAAGACGGTGAGAAGGTCGCGGACAAAAGTCCGGAAGAATCAGATCTTGATACCTGTGGAAGCTAGTATTGACTTTCGGAATGAAAGAAGGGTCCAATTTTAGGATCACTCTGTCATCCAGAAAAACACAAAGATCCTCCCTGATCGAGAGTGCAGCAAGTTCCGAGATGCGTCTTGCTGAGGTGATGGCTATCAAAAAGGCTACTTTCAATGAAAGGAAGTGTAGTGAACAAGATCTGATGGGTTCAAATGGTGAACTGGTAAGAACCTGCAGAACCCTTGGCAGGTCCCATGTGGGATATCTGTGTACTACAGGAGGACCTGTATTAACGGCTCCCTTAAGGAAGGCCGTAACAGCTGGATGATGAGATAGCTGTACCTGATCCTCGCAAATGAGGACCGTGGATAATGCTGCGATCTGCCTACGGATGGTATTGTGAGACAGTCCCCTGTTTAGTCCGTCTAAAAGGTAGTCCAATAATATCGGAATGGTGGTAGCCAGTGGGTTGACCCTCCTGGTGTTACACCATGCACAGAAACTTTTCCACGTGGCATCGTAGATCCTGTTAGTGGAGGGACGTCTGGAGGCTTGAATTATAGCAATCACTCCAATCGAATAGGACTGTCTAATTAAGCTCTCCCTTTCAAGTGCCAAGCAGCTAGTTGAAGCCACTGCGGGTCCGGATGTTGGAGCTGACCCTGACTGAGGGAGATGCGATCTGCTGGAATCTTCCAAGGTGGGGAGATCGATAGGTCCACGAGATCTGCAAACCAAGGATGCCTTGGCCAATGTGGGACCAGCAAGATTAATTCTGCCCCCTCTAATAGGAGTTTCCTGATGACAGCTGGAATCAGGGGAAGTGGAGGGAAGGCATACAGAAGTCCCTTGGGCCATCTGCTGCGTAGCGCGTCCGTTCCCTCCACCCCCCGTGACGGAAACCACGTGAAATACCTGGGAAGCTGAGCATTTGCTGGCAAAGCAAACAGGTCTACCTGAGGCTGCCCGAACCTCTCCGATATTTCCCTGAAGAGGTTCGGTTCCAATCGCCACTCCGAGTGGTCTATCGTCGCCCTGCTTAGAGAATCTGCCTGATGATTCTCCTCCCCGGAAATGTGTTCTGCTCTGATGGATTTCAGATGGGATTCTGCCCACAGACCCAATGCTAGGGCCTCCTGCATGAGGGACCAAGATTTGGTCCCTCCCTGTCTGTTGATATGAGCCTTGGCTGCGACATTGTCTGACGGACAATGATTCCCCTTCACTATGTTGGAGAACTGGCAAAGAGCCAAGTGTATTGCCCTGAGTTCTAGCCAATTTATATTGTGCGTGAGGTCGTGCTTGGACCATTGACCCTGAGCCATATGTGTCTGCATGTGCGCTCCCCAACCGAACAGACTGGCGTCCGTGGTCAGGATAAGTCTGTGAGGCTCCTTGAAGAATGTCCCCTTGTGTATGGCTGGTGACCCCCACCATCTGAGTGACTGTAGAGTGTGGTACGGAACTCTCACCTTCCGTGTGGAGGCACTCATGTTCCGCTTCTGGAAGGGAAGCAGGAACCATTGTAGATGTCTGGAATGAAGACTGGCCCACGGCACTATTCCTAGGCAAGAAATCATCTTCCCCAACAGCTGTGACAACTGGACAAGGGGAACTACCTTCTCTCTCTGGATCCTGCGAACTAAGGATCTGATACCGTCCCTGCGTTCCTGGGAGAGGTAGACCTTGCATAGGTCTGAATCTATCACCGCCCCTAGATGCAAGATCCGAGTGGTAGGGGTGGTGTGGCTCTTCTTGAAATTTACTGAGAAGCCATGTCTCTGAAGTGTCTCTATTGTAGTCTGTAGATCTAGTTGAGCAGTGTGGAATGAACTGGACTGAATGATTATATCGTCCAGGTAACATTGTACTCTTACTGGTATTAATCTGAGATGTTCGGCCATGTCTCCAGGAACAGTGGATGTGGAGAACAAAGATGTTAATGGAGCGTCCACTGTGGGAACCTCTAGAAGGGAAGAGAATGCAGAAGATACATTATACAATCTCTTTTCTGTGCTGTTAGGAGAGGGTAGGGTGGCCAGTGAGGTCCACTCTTTTTCCATCGTCTCGTGGAAAACAGCTGGACAAGGAACTTGTTTTTCCTCTACCACCTTTCTAACAAACAAAGGGTTTGACTCTTGTGCAGCCGAGGTAGATGGCTTGGGTTCCTGCTCCGAGACCAGGTTGGCTGTTGTGCAGGCTTTTAACAAAAGAGATTTGAATAGGTTTGGATCAAAAAGCCCCGATGTTGGGGTTGGATCCTGATTTACCTCCTCATCCTCAGACATAGGTCCTTCAGTTGTCACCAGGTCAACAGATTCAGTCTCCCCAAACTGAGATGAAGTCTCAGAAATACCTGAACCCGCTGACTGGGGACGTCCAGTGCGGTCTGCGGGCAAGGGTGGAGAAGGTGAAACCTGTGAGGGACCAGCTGCTAAGGAAGAAGACATGAATTGATTGAAGGCCTGGTGCATAAAGCTCTGAAACTGTTGAGCCCATAAGGATCGCTCAGCTGAAGGCACACCAGCAGCGGTGGTCTCAGGAGTATGCGTACTAATGTTAGCAGGAGAAATGGAAGGCCCTGGCAGAGGGGATATAGGGATATGTTGTCTAGGGGCAGATAGACTGACCTGTTCAGTTCCCCCTTGAGGAGACCCTGCCCTGGGGGCTTGATAAGACGGCACCAGTGAGGGCTCATAAGGTGAGCTGGCCAGAGAAGCAGGGGGAACCAATTCAGCTTCTCTGGACCTGAGCCTTTGTGCTTTGGAGAACTCTTGCTCCAGTGCCTGGTGTCTCCTTGAGGCCTCTCGCTCAGCAGTCTTGGAGGGTTCTTTGGTTGATAAATGCTTGGTTTTAGCTTTTTTCTTCCCCCCTGTATTTGAATCAGAGGATCTGCATTTTGCTTGAATGGGGGGAATATCAGAACCCTGCAAAGCCTGAGGAGACTCACCATCTGCCATTGTGCCCAGGCTTTCCAGGTAGGAGAAGCCCTGGGGTGGGGGTAACTACGCAGATCAAGTTGTCCGGGAGGGAAGCTTCCCACGCCCTAAGACAACCACAATGGCAAACAGCCAGAACAGCTGTCTAAAACTGTCTGCTGGGCCCTGCCGGCACAGCGCCGGGAGCTAAACAGAACAGGTCAGGAACCCCACAATTTAAGATAATAGGTGTTATTATTGTTATTATTATTTTTATTTTATTTTATCTTATTTTATTTTACTTTTGTAATCAATCTCTGAGAAGCAATGCGTCGAAGAAACAACAGCTAAACCCCCAAGAGGACCCAACGCAGTGAGTCATTAATGCTAGGCCTGAATTGGAGGCAAACAGCAACCTTAAAATGGCGACCACGCCCAGCACCAAATTCAAAATGGCGGCCGCAGGTCTTCTTTGTGCCTAAAAATGGCCTCTCCTCTTAGTCAGAGCTGTAAGACAGCTTCTCCAGCCTCGTCTTTGAAGTCCCCGTTCAGGCAGGCAAAAAGACAGAGGGAACCTTACACACACTTCCCCCCTTACAGCTATAAGGCACCACAAACTACTTGTGATTCTGCAGCCTGGGGGGGTCTCTGTGCGATCCTGGATAGAGCCTCGTGGCCACGAGGCAAGAGAGAAGCTCTGGTAATCGGCTGAATTCTCCAGAAACGCTGGCAATAAAAATTGTTATCACACACAAGGGAAGCCTCCCTCAGTGTGCTGAACAGATACTCTGAGCTGAAAACTGCCTCAGCGGCAAAGCTCCAACGATCCACGAGGCCAATTAGGCCCTCTGGAAAGCAACTCTCCAAGGTTGCTAATTCACTGTCCTTTACTAAAAAAACAAAAATTATGTAAAGAGTACACTACAGGAAGCTATATTAACAATCCTAATGCTACACTATTTAAACTAACAATTGCTGAGGAGCTAACAAAACTGTGTCCTCTCTGCGCATAGACTAAGACAAAACTGGGAAAGGAGCGCCCAAGGGAGGCATGGCTAAAGTTTGGTCTTAGTCTAAATCTGAGCAGGAGGGCTTTGATTACCCAATCGGTGGATGCTACATCTATCATGCTGGAGAATGTTCTGTCTTCAAACAACTATTTAACCACACCTTCCATACTAGCATTTTATCCTGAGTTTGGAGGGAAATCATGCATTTAATTCAAAGCTGTTTCAGATGTTCTGACATCCAACAATCAATTTGTTTTCTTTTAAATTGTGCCCTGTTGTCAAATAGAAACATATTTCTCAAGCAAAGTTCCATCACTGTTGTATCTCACTGAGGAGAAGAGAGGAGGGATCAATTAAACACACCTTGCACAATTGAGAATAACTTTATATTTAGGGAAAGGAGCGCTCTCTGCCTTACAAATAAGCAATTTGCTGCAATATTCTTTGAGAAGTCCTAATTTGTGGCTGCAATGTTGTTCCCATGTATCATTTTTCCCCAAAGAGGCTGAGAAATGCAAATGTGTGCATGCCTATTATGAATATTCAAATAACATAGAATAAGACTATAAATCTAAGCAAAATATTTTTTTGCTCCTTTGCAGGCAGATCTCCCTACATAGATTGTTCCACTGTTTAAATATCAGATATGCAAACAATTGCTTATATACAAACAACTATTTTACTGGGTTTCTTCAACTTCATAGCTGTTATAAACGGTGCTTCACATTTAGGGGGGATAGGGATTAATTACATAACTTGCCTTTTTTTTCTAAGGGTTCAAAATAATTTTCTTGGGAATTTCTAATTATACTCCCATAACAACTCTATGAGTTTTACTAAGCTAGCTCTTTACTAGCCTCTGTTCTGTGGCAGTTTATACAACTGCCTAAGGGGCACATAGCATGCTTAACTATTGCTTTTATTCAAATTCAGCCCCTTGATCAATTGACTTGGATGACAAGAGGAAATTCTCAGTCCAACCTGGGCAGAGCTAGTTTTCCTGGAGGAAATTTTAACTTTTTGTTCTGGAAAAGCATCCAGTTATGTAGCTCTCTGTTTTTAAGCTTCAATGAGGCAGAACTATATCATTTCAATGAGATCCAAGCCTTAGATTTAAGTCAGAACTAATGAATGCAGAAACACCCTAAATTTAATATACGAAACGATGTAATTCCTGGAAAAAGCATACTTTCTTATGAAGAGCTTCAGAGGTGTGTTAATAAACTTCTGAAAATCACGCAGGAATTTTATTTCTTTCCACACTTTGATCATGGCTTTCAGCAATGCTTGGTCTTTTTCTTGTTCATTATTGCGAAGTCTTCTTGTTTTCCTGCTCACAAATACAGACATTTCATTGCAGGGAATATATATATATATATATAGTAATTGACATCAAATAACAAGTTAGCAATATTGAAAAAAATGACTATAACCAGTCAGCTATAATGTAGCAGGTCAGATCGAATCCCAAATCAATTAATAACCAGGTTGCCAACAGGATGTAAATTAGTTTTCTACGAACATAATAAAATAAGTCCCTTTGGATAGTGGCAGAATGCAATACAGGTGCAGTCAAGATTTTCTCTCTACAGAAACATGGTGCCATCTTACTCAAGCAGAAACTACCAGTGAAGCAGAGCTGACACTCCCTATTTCCATTACAGCCTCTACCTTATTTCACCCATAGCTTCCCTGAAAACTGGCAAAATCTTTAGGACCAAGCAAGATGTGGTCTCAGAGGTTCAATGCTTATAGAAGACAGAGGAATGGGCAGGAGGAATAATCTTGAAGAACAGAAGGAAGAGCCATAGCCAAAACCACATTCTGATTAAAAATAAATAAATCTGAAACTAGGCCAGAACTACAATTGAGAAAATGTCTCAAGCAAAACCCTTCCTACTTTTGGAATAAGATGACTCACAGTGGCAAGGTTGGCATGGATGGGTCAGTGCAGATGGGTAAGCGTGGCCAGGTGGACAGATGACTCAGCACAAATGACTTGACATAGCCAAGTGGGTGCAACTAGGTTAGCTTGGACGGTTGGGTATCAAGTGCCAAGCCAGGCACCGTTTCGTTCAACCCCAGCACCACAACTTCAAAGTGAGAGAAATCCACAAAGCCTCCTGGAACCCACATTGGAGCTGTCAGGACCCAAAACCCCTTCTCCCTTTCCTTAGCCATATATTCTGCTTTTGGGGCCTGCCATTCTGTTGGGGGGAGGGGAAGTTTGCATGTGCTTGGGTTAACCTTCGCTTTCTATATTCCCCTCCTCCCTCCATTCCCTTGAGATAGGAATATGTCTCCCTTTATCAGGGAGATGATTGCAGAGAAACAAAACTGGAGAAGACCTTGAGATGTGCGCCAACTGTGCCAGTTACCCGCTCATCAGATCACCTGTGGATTGGCTGGATTTCAATTGGACATTATGACTTTTCCCCAGATCTCGCCTTGACTTTCCTACTGTCACTGACCCCTAATAAAAGTATCCTTTTGAGACAACGCCTGTTTCAAGAGTTCTGCTTTCTTGGGTGGTTAGTTGAAGTGGGACCTCATAGGAGCCCTGTGGTATTCAATCCGCCGTCCTCGAGAACAACTTTCCTATCACCCTCTTCCTCCTCTTAATCCTTCTCTTCCTCTGCTGGACTAGAAGCTTGGAAACATCCTGGCCCCACCTCCGTCCCTTTGATCTCAACTTTGGGATGTCCTTAGTGCCTCCCCATCTCTAGTGACATAGATTCACCTCAAGGTTTCCCTGCAAGCGTGTGTGTGTGTGTGTGTGTGTGTGTGTGTGTTTGCATATTTGCCAAGATATATTTTCACAATGGATTTCTATTCTCTGGGGTGATTTTTTACATGCCACAGTGTGCCTGCTGAATCTCCAGATTGGTGCAAAAATATTCTCAACTTGTGCAGATCTCTCTTCTCCTTGGTGGGTGAGGAGGCCTTGGTCCATCCGACATGCTCACAAAAGAGGAGCTTTGGCAGGGCGGGGGGCAACTTCCCACCTACCCCCCCTGCTCATCGTGCCACTCACTTCCTCCTGCCCACCCCACTATTGCCTTTAGCAATGGCTGTTGGGCTGAGACCAAATAGCTCCCAGATCCCCCCCCCAACCCCCAGCCAGATCTTCTGCTTATTTGGAAATGACAGGGGAATGGTGGAGAAAGCTCAGTTCTTCACTCCCACAACTATAGACAGCAAGATCTGGAGAAGATAATGTTTTGTCTTCCTGGGGAAAGATATAAAACACGTTAGGTCTCAACACCCAGGTGGGCTGAAACCTCCCTTTTGTTAGGATTCAGGTAGAGCTGGTTCCTCTTCACCCAGATCTTCACAGCCTCTAGTCCGGGAGGAGGAGGAGGAGGAGGAGGAGGAGGAGGAGGAGGAGGAGGAGGAGGAGGAGGAGGAGGAGGAGGAGGAGGAGAAAGATGACAGGGAAGTTGTTCTTGGGGGCAGCGGATTGACCACTGTCAGGGTCCTGGGCAGGCTCCGGGAGGCTTCACAGATTTCTCTCCCTTTGAGGTTGCAGCACTAAAGTGGGACAAAATGGTTCCTGGCTCCATGCTTGGTTCCTGGCAGTTCAAGTATGCAAGGAGCTGGTGAGGTGCTGAGTTGTCCACACATCCAGTTGGCTGAGGCTACTTGTTCCGCATTGACTTGGCTGTGCCCAGACAGCCACGCCCACCTGGTGCACCCACCTGCCCATAGCCATCTATCCATGCCGGCCTGACCACACCCACTCATCTGCCCACCCAGCCATGCTCACCCATTCGTGCCTATCTGGTCACAATGATTTGTCCTACACCCTCCTAGTTCTCCCATAGAAGGGAAAAAAGGAGGAAGAATATTGACAATTGCAGGACAGTTGAAGATCTGACAGGCTATCCCACCTGATTTGTCCCCATAAAATTTCTTTCTTCCTGCCATTCTAGTTGCTCCCAAAAATGGCACAGAAGGACATAAATAAAAGGTGTTTTATCATAGCAGATGGTTACACAAAGAGGAACTTAGGAGAGAGTCATAAACCTTCTGCAGGCTGGCCATTATGTAATTTCAATTAAACAAAAAGATCTGCCTTACAAAATAAATACTTGAAACATCTCATGGAAAAAAGAGGTTCTTACAAAATTCCAATGACAACAGTTCATTGCCTTTTATTAGAGCATGATTCAGTTTTTTTTCCAACAACCCCTTTTTCAGCTGAACAATTTTTTAAAATTTACAGAATGAATAATAGAACAACTATTAATCTACTCACCTTATTTCAAGCTTATATTCAGTTATGCTTTGTTGGACTACTAAATTTGGAATTCCACTTTTGGCAGTATCCAAAATATTTTGTAAAGCATTTCTGAGAGCATGAAGCTAAAAAAATAAGCTTATAAATATTAGTGTGATCTGTTTGTACCACCATATTAAGCAATTATACTTCTGTATTTTTCCTTATTACTAGCAATCTTGATAGACCTGCTTTTCTATGAAAATGCCAGAAACATTCTCCAAAATAAACCTGGGAAGAACATGGAAAATATGATTTTTGACAGTTTATTATTTTTTAATGTTATCTCGCCTTTATTGTTGCTTTTATTGTAAATTATATTCTTCCCAATTCTGAAGGCCAAGATTTATAATTCTAACCAATATTATCTATCAAATACCTAAAAGCAAAGAAGACAATGAATCATTCATACAAAGCAAACTTGGTATTTAAATCTTTTCAGAATTCAACCTTAAATAACATCTATTATTCATTTGAGAGTTTACTTGAACTTATTTCAACAGCACTTCAAAGACTGAACTTATTTCAACAGCACTTCAAAGACTGAATATTCAACATATTTCATTTTAGATCAGAGGTCCCCAATCTTTTGGGTCCCAGGGACTGGTTCCATGGAGAAAGGTTTTTCCACGGACTGGAGTGTGTGTGGTTTTGTGTGCTGCCTGCATCTCACGGATGGGACTTTTCTTGTTTGTGCAGCCCGGTTGCTGGCATACTGCGGCCCGGTACCAGTCCACGGACTGGGGATTGGGGACCCCTGTTTTAGAGGACAGGATATGTATTATTATGTTTCAAGCCATGAAGTTGCAGGACCCGTCCAAAAAATTGGGCAGCCATTTGTCTGGTGGAACGGGACTATTAGGCTCTGACCCTTGGCAGCGCCCATTTCTCTCCTAGCTCCCTGCTGTAGCCGACCCACAGTGACCTTTCATCCTCTGCTTGTGCTCTTCTCCCACCAACGCCCCTCCCCCCAGTTCTTCACACCCAGCCCTTCATCCTGCCGATTCCCCAAGGCACATTTTTACTCTGGCGAGTTGCTGCATGGGACTATCTTGCCCTCCCAGCAGCTAATTAGGCAGTGTGCAGCTGCAGGTGGCAGTGATGCAAAGGCACTGCGGGGGGGAGGGGGGGGAGGCAGCAGGCAGTTGGGGGGGCGTGGTGCGCAGCTGGGCAGCAGGTGATTGCAGAAGCATTGGAAAAAGCCTGGGGAGGTGCACTTTTAATTTTTTTTTTGCCACTTGATGGTTGTTTCTCTCCTTGTCCAACCTACTCCAAATTCTCAGTTTTCTCAATTGAAGGATGGTTGTGATGTAGGGACCACATTCATTGCTGTGGCAGGACAGGAAAAATATCTTTCCATTTGGGAGAAAATCTTTGGGAAGAGGAGAGGATCATGAAACTGTTACTGACTGTTATTTCAAGATGTCTTAGACAGCAGAATCTTATACTCCTTCTTTCCTTCTCTTTCTTCTCTTCTTCCTTCTATTTCTTTTCCTTCCTTCCTGTCTCTCCCTCCTCCCTCTTCCTTCCTTCTTTCTTCACTGTTTTCCTTCTTTCTCCCTTTCTTCCCTCCCTTTCTTTTCCTTTTTTACATTCTTTCCAAGAAAGAAAGAAAAGAAAGAAAGAAAGAAAGAAAGAAAGAAAGAAAGAAAGAAAGAAAGAAAGAAAGAGAAAATTGACATAGCAAATATAGTTCTCAATTTAAACTGGAATAAAAATTTCCATTGCTAAGCCAGATGGCTATTCAATGAGTCACACCTGACTTTATGCCCTTTTTTGCCACAGCTGTTAGGTGAATCACTGCAATTGTTTAGTGACTTATGTGTTCCTTAAGCAAATATGGCTTCCCACATTGGCTTTGTTTGTCCAAAGCTGGCTGGGAAAGTCATGTAGACGGTGATCGCATAACCTGGGATGCTGCAATCATCACAAACACATGCCAGTTACCAAGTACTTGAATTTTGATCACATGACCATAGGGATGTGATGGTCATAAGTGCCAGGACTAGTCGTAAGTGTGCAAACTGGTTGTAAGTCACATTTTTCAGTGCCATTATAAAAAGGAACAGTCCCTAACCAAATGCTTGTAAATCAAGGGCTATCTGTAAAAGATCTGAGCTGGAGCCTCTAATTTTCATGTCTGGATCACAAGCCTCAAGCAAACCCAGATTAAGAGAAGAGCCTCTAAAATTTGCATTGCCAGCTTGAATGTCCCCAAGGGACCCAGTCAATTGTGCCAGACAGATTCCAGTTTAATCACAGGATCTTTTTCGAGATCCCTTAAAAAGTGTTGCAAAGAACACTTTTTCCTTCCCGGTTCCTGAATAAACAGTTTTAACAATCAGAGGGCTGGAACTGGCAGCTCAGAAGATATTTGGCATGAAACTGAAAAGTCTTGAATTTGGGAAAGCAATACCAATTTTGCAAAGTGGCTTTCTGCATGCACCCTAATACCAACCACAAGGCTAAAGGGAAAGGCCTTTAGTAAGGGGGGGGGGGTGTCAAGTCTTTGTATTGCATGCAAAAACAAATGACATTTAGTAATCCTCAAGTTCCGAACACAATTGAGCCCAAAATTTCTATTGCTAAGCAAGAAAATTGTTAAATAATTTTGCCCCATTTTACAACTTTTCTTGCCACAGTTAAGTGAACCACTGGAGCTGTTAAGTTAATAACTCAGTTCTTAAGTGAATCTGGCTTCCCCATTGACTTTGCTTGTCAGAAGTTCATAAAAGGGGATCACACAACCCAGGGACACTGCAACTGTCATAAATAATATAAAGTAAAATAGACCATACATGCCATGCCTACAATTCTGAGATCACCTGGTCTATTTTACTTTATATTATTTAGAACTTAGAACATTAGAGTTGAAAGGGACCTCTGAGGTCTTCTTGTCCAACCCCCTTCTTGAGCAGGAGACCCCATACTATTTCAAACAAATGGTTGTCCAGTGTTTTTTTGAAAGCCTCCAGTAATGGAGTATCCACAACTTCTGAAGGCAAGCTGTTCCATTGGTTTCTCTCACTGTTAGAAATTTCTCCTTAGTTCTAGGTTGCTTCTCTCCTTGGTTAATTTCCAATTATTGTTTTTTATCTTGCCTTTTGGTGCTTTGGAAAATAAGTTGAGCCCCTCAAATATTGGAACAGTGCTATCATGCCACCTCTAGTCTGTCAGGATCTCCATCATTAGCCTGGCACCTTGCAGGACTCCTACCCTCAAAGAGGAAGGGAAGGGGGAAGCATTTGGGGCAATCCACACCTGCGTATCAAATGGTGGGAAATAGGGAGGGGAGAATGGGAAGGGGGAAGTGACAACGGAAGAAGCCCAGATCACCAAACCGGCTTGTACCAGGAGACTCAAGGGGAAGTGCCAGGATCTGCCTGCTTTCCAGCTGATTGGCGCTTCTTTGCTTCTTCTGGCATTCACGGACCCGGCCAGAGCGAAGGGGAAGTGTAGAGGAATGCCAGCTCTAATCCTAGGGTGGTTCAAAATGCCAGCAGGCTGGCTGGGGGTTTTGTGGTGGAGACGTGTGAGCCTTCCTCCGTCTTCTTGAATCTGGCATTCACGGACCTGACCAGAGCGAAGGGGAAGCGGGATCAAAGCCGGATTCAAGAAGACGGACAAAGGCTCACATGTCTCCACCCCAAAAACCCCAGCCAGCCTGCTGGCCTTGCGGGTTAGATCTCGCAAAAACCGACCCAGCCGGAGCGAAGGGGAAGTGGGATTGAAGCTCTTCTTTCGGCTGCAAAGAATGTAGCCAGGCGGGATTCACTTGGGGGTTGCAACGCACCAAAGGGAGTCCGGCAGCTATGGCTCTTTCCCTGCCCCCGTGCGCTCCTCCGCTGCCTGCGCTCTCCATCCCCTGCAGAAGAACAGCAGCTGTGCTGGGCTCCCGGCTGCACCGAGCGCAATCACAAAAGGGAAGTGATTCAGCAAAGGAATCACCATCGAAGAAATTAAAACTGAGTGATGGAGGGAGGAAGGGAGGGAGGGACAATGAGAGGGAGAGAAGGACAATGGAAGGGAGGGAGGGAAGGGACAGAGGGAAGGAAGGAAGGAAGGAAGGAAGGAAGGAAGGAAGGAAGGAAGGAAGGAAGGAAGGAAGGAAGGAAGGAAGGTGTTATGTCCCGAGCCTTGCAAACGGGCTCGGGGCGTTTGCAGGCAGTCCCGGGCAGGTGCAAGCTGCCCGGGACCAGACAGACTGTCGCCAGCGCCTGTGCGCATGCGCAGGTTCTGGCGCGGGAAAAGTAACACATTGACCCGGGAATTGCCTATATAAGAAGCTGGGAGCTTTTGGGCGTTGCTGAAGCCTTCACCTGTAAGCTGAACACAGAATAAAAGAAAACCTGAGAACTACAACTGCTTCTCATGTCTGCTTTTCGCCAAGGACTCAACACTGGCGACGAAGGTGGGATGCCTTACATCGTCTGGAAAGGAAGAGTTGTAAGCTTACCCAAGTGAGTCCTGAGCGGCGGAACGGAATTGACTCGGCAGCTACCCGCCAATCCAGTGTGCATTCGGGGGTAGGCTGGCTGATAGACCCGTCTCCAGAAGATGGCAAAGGTTGGAAGGTTTTCGGAGTTCGACGTCTGACATCCAGAGCGGTGGGACTCCTACGTAGCCAGGGTGGAAAACTACCTCAAGGTGAACCAAGTGAGGGAAGATAGCTTGAAGGCTGCCACCCTGCTTTGTGTCTGCGGCCAAGACGTCTTCGAAATCGCAGAGAACCTTGCAGCACCTGTTCCATTAGAGTCTGTCAGCTACGCAGATCTAAAGAAGCTATTGAAGGAGCACTTCCAGCCCAAGATATCCGTCATCGCATGGCGCCACACCTTCGAGCAGAGGGATCAACGATCCGGAGAGTCGGCCAAAGAGTACATCGCTGCATTGAGGAAGGCCGCCAAGCACTGCGAGTTCAAGGACCTCGAAGAACGACTGAGGGACCGATTCGTGTGCGGTTTAAGGCATCGAGATTTACAACAGAGGCTTTTCGCCAAAGAAGACTTGTCTTTCCAAGATGCCTTAAGAGAGGTCACCACAGAAGAAGCAGCAGGCGGCGCCGTCAAGAGCATGCAGCCGATCA